ATGTTTAGCAGTTGAAACTCTGAAGAGAAGTACTTAGAAACTTTGTGACCAATAATAAAGAAAAAAGGGCACAGCTAATCCACCCCTGAGATCTCCTGTTGACAATACTCCCTGTGATGGCAATGTACAACTCATGAACATCAGTGCCCTGCATACACCAAACAAAATGGGGGATCCTTAAAATTCAGGAAATTTTTATGGTCAATACGGAATCCAGATTTATGTGGTTCATTTTTTATAATAAGGACACCTTTCTATAGAGGGCAGTTAGATGCAGTCGGAAGGACATCCTTAATGTATAGGTTCTACTCTATGTAAATGAAAATGACAGACATAAATTGAGACAGGTTGAAATCTGTATGCAGTCCTACGGAAGCATAATAATACATTTTGCCTATAGAAATACTATCTGCCTTTGCGAGATATACAACTTATTTGAAAGTGTAAAATATGCAATTTTTTGAATCATTTATTCATTATAGAGTAAAATTATAATCTACTAAAATCATTGTATGCCATTATTTTCAAACAAAAGAATGCTTAAAGATTAATTATAAAATAAAAACTATAAATCTAATGAAATTATATGAAAAAGTTCAATGTTAGCAACACGTCCCCTGGTGTTGATTATTTAATCGTAATTAAAATGTGAACACTCAATATCATTTGCATATTAATTAAATCATTTCCTTAATAAACAAATAATTAGATATTAATTATTAATTTGAATATCATTTACATCTAATAAATAAATAACCTTTAATTAATAACTATTAATTAGGCATTGATAATAAATTTGCATATAATTAATCAACCATTAGTTAGGCATTGATTATTAAATTGCATATCATTTACTTATATTCATACAAGTTACAAATGACGTTACACTTCCACCTCCATAGTGACTTGTTAACTACTAACACTTGGTTTAGGTTTTTGGAAAAAGACATTCATTAAACTTGAAATATCTAATCTTTGTTGTTTTTTGACTATTGGAGATTAAATATATTTTGTGCATTAAAATACGCACTAACTGCGGCATTTGAAAATTGGATTTCTTTCTTCGTAAATTACTGAAGGCTATACAGCCTTTCCGATTTTCAAAAAGTTTTCGATCATAGTTTTTCATGTTCATCTACAGAAAAAGTGTTCGACGTGGGCATTTCAAAAACATAATTTTTATCTTCAAAAATACGAAGATTAATGAATTTTCCATTAAAATACACACTAACGCATTCAAAAAATCGTTTGTTGGATTTTTCGTGAATATATCCAAGACAGTTTCGAAAAAATCTTTGATTCATAATTTTCAATGTTCTTCTACGAAAAATATGTATCTGGTATGAGCTATTCAAAAATACAATTTTATCGTCGAAAGTCCCAAGGTTTAACCCTCCACGAATCAAAGAAAACTTTGTGCCTCTTCGAGCTCATTTTGCTTCAGAAGATAAAATGAACAGTGTTAGGGATTTTTAAGACTTATTTTTCCACATTTGTCAATACTAAAGTTTAGTGGTTATTTTTAAACTATTGTCATTTTTGACTTATTCTATTTTTAAAGGTTTGTTTGATTGAAGTTAAGCACAAAGCTACACAATGGGCTATCTGTGCTCTGCCCACCACGGCGGGTATCGAAACTCGGTCTCTAGCGTTATAAGTCCACAGACATACTGCTGTGTCATTGGGGGCATTTTTAAAGGAGAGAAACACTCGGTTTAGGCTTTTGGAAAAGATATAATGTTTTGTGAGAGAAGCATGAAAAACTAAAACAAATTTTCTTTGAAAATACAAATCTTGGATATTTTTACGAAAAACATTTTTTTTAATGTCGATAATGTATTTCAATGCAAAAACAATATTTAATCTCCCATAGTCTAAAAATATGTCAAAAACAACATATATTACAGATTTAGAGCATAATGAAAATCTTTTTCAAAAGCCTAGTCGAATGTTATTTCAGAAATAGAATATGTAAAAGATCACAATAGTTTGAAAAACAACACAATAAACACTAAACTCTAATATTTGTGAAAAACAAATATTGAAAATCCCTAAGGGTGTTCATGTTCTCTTCTAAACTAAAGTGAAATCGAAGATTGACAAAATATTCATAAAAATATCAAGGCTTTAGCCTTGGGACTTTTAAGGATTAAATTAAAAAACCCTAATAGGATATTCTCTTCTAAACTAAAGTGAAATCGAAGATTGACAAAATATTCATAAAAATATCAAGGCTTTAGCCTTGGGACTTTCAAGGATTAAATTAAAAAACCCTAATAGGATATTCTCTTCTAAACTAAAGTGAAACCGAAGATTGACAAAATATATATAAAAATATCAAGGCTTTAGCCTTGGGACTTTTATAGATTAAATTAAAAAACCGTAATAGGATATTCTCTTCTAAACTAAAGTGAAATCGAAGATTGACAAAATATATATAAAAATATCAAGGCTTTAGCCTTGGGACTTTTATAGATTAAATTAAAAAACCCTAATAGGATATACGTTTTCCAACAAATAACTTCAAAAATTGTGGTGCAAGATTCTTTTCCTCGAAAATGAAGAGGGTATATTTGTTTGTTTGTAGTTAAGCACAAAGCTGAACAATGGGCTATCTGTGCTCTGCCCACCACAGGTATCGAAACCTGGTTTCTAGCGTTGTACGTCTGCAGACATAATGCTGTGCCACTCAATCAGCCTGACACCAAGCAATCTAACAGAGTTCCTCTGATTATCATATATTATCTTAAAAAAGCTTCACAAATCCTTGAAAAACTTTTCCATCTTCTCCAGCTCAATGAATACCTAGAGTGAATCTTCCCTGTCGTTTCCTTCCAAAAAAACTTAAAAGATATCTTTTGTCTCGCACAAGTCAATTACACCACACAAAATTGCTGTTCTCCATTTAAACAAAGTTCCGTATCAGACTTTATAAGTTTATAAAAACAAAAAGCATTTTCTCTGTTCAATATGGAAAAAAACAACGTGATAAAAACTGTCAAACTAACAACATAACTTATGCAGTTTGTAAAATGCAACCATAAATACGTTGGACAAACCCAGAATATCCATATAGAACGGTTTAATAATCATAAATCCTCCATCAATACTAAAAACAATATCTTTCTGTTGCCATACCACTAATTTCATGATAGTACTTGAAGCCAACAGCTTGTGTTTATGTGGTTTGTTAGCGAGATATTCTCCACTATTGTTACTTTCATCAACAGTATTAGTTCGAATGTTTTGCATTTTTAGGACTAATCCAAATTTCCTAAGCTCACTGAACCTTGCTAGATATTATTGGGTTTATGGCCAAAAACGTCATTAACAGCAATGGAACTCAACTGATGAAAAAATTCATTCTAATCTTTATACGAATGTAAGAAAAATATTTTTAATTAGCTATACTCATTATCAGGTTGATTTTTGGTTTTGCTGTCAGTAGGTAGTTTACTCTGATCAAAAGTTAATATTGTTTGAATCCATCATTGACATGGTTCTCATTGGTACTGAAGGTAGGTTTGTATCAGAAGCTGACAGAGAAACCTATTGGATCAGTATTTTAAACACTATCACCCTGTATAGTACAAACCTTGACGTCAGTATTAAAAGTCTTCATCCTTGGACTCTTTTTGGAAAATTGTTTTTCATGTTCTCATTTTTATATATGTATTATTATGCAATTTCATTTCTCAAACTTATTAATATTTAATTCTTCTAGTTCCTGTATAATTAAGTGCTTTTGTTGATAAATCTCACAATTATCCTGGACATTACTTTTTACACAAACATATATTCTTATAAGACATTTTTATTTCCAAACTACTTTTTCTTTCCATCACAAACCCACATATACACAAAGCTATTTCACAACTTTGGTAATATTCTTATAAATCCATGGCATCTCACTTCTTCCACACAATGACCACATGACTGACCAACATGCTTACAATGGTCATTTGCCATTCACCCCTGATGAAGGAAAACCTGCTTTCCAAGAGTGTTCATGTTATTGGTTTTTTTGCTAATGCTACCCAAACTGCCTTATTAATATTGCATTATGTACTTTATCAGAGTTCTTAAAATGTTATCAGCATGGAACACAACTAAGCAAGATTCAAATTACCAAGAATTTTATTTTATACATGTACAGAATGTGGAAAATATTAATTATAATTTTATTACATCTGAGTTGTTGTTTTTTTATCTGGCATACTTGTACATTAGTTGGTTAGGTTTTTATTCACGATCATATAAATAGAAACCTGAACATATATTTTTATGTACCTGAAAATACTATAAATTAATCTTTTAAAACTTCATTTTCATTAAATTCTTCACACAAATATTACAAATCTGCGATACTAACAGAAAATAAACTTATTCTAGCTAATCAAACTATTTTAATTTCCTTACGAGGTTTTATCAACATGCAAGGTTTGTCTAGAACATAAAATCCACAAGAAACAATAATTTAATTTATTGAATATTTCATAACAATAATTAGGCAATCATACCTATGCAAACTTTTGCCATCTGTGCACTCCCCTTTTCGGATCGTTCGGTTAAAAGTCGAGGTAAGTTCGAGTTGAAAGAGAATACACAGGTGACAAGTGTGAGACACAGATAAAATTTAAGTGAAACACTCAACAAAATATACAGTACTTAAGATACAAGTTCTCTAATATGAAAACTCCTGGACAGTTAAAATAAAAAGAATTGACAATTAGCTAATATATGGTAATATTTCATACAGTTGACTATGGCAAAGACCTTGGTTAAGTTAATAATCTTGTATGAAGTACAAAAAGGTAACCGAAACCTGTAATTAAATTCCTTGACATACCTTTCCAATAATGTCCATATATTCAATACCAAGCAAATCTACTAACACAGGATTCTCAGGATCACATACCTTCTACAATGTGTGTTTCCTTATGCTGTTATCTAAACTGTGTATATAAATAATTTCACATGGACATCCACAACTTTAAGAGTTTGTTTGGTTTTTATAAACTATCTTGGAAAATAAAGTTGCTAGTAATTTAAAGTGCTATTTTAAAATTTTTATCTTTTACATTTTATTATAAATTGTACTGGAAGGTAAAACTTAATTACTAATTTGTTTTCAGCTAAACATGCATGTTTCCAACCAGTCCTAGAGCAGACAAAATTCAATATGATTTAATGTTTTCATGAAAAGCTATGCTGACGTTTTTCTCCATAATTCTATAAGTGTTTAGTGTAGCATCTTTGCCATTTAAATCTTCTTTCTTTAAGAAATACTGTATGAGGTGAGAGTCACAAAACCAATAGCAGCCATGATTTCTCTGAATCATTTGCAAATAGTAATCAACCAAACTGAAAAGTAAATCCACCAGGAAATTGACTATAGTGTCCACCGCTATAACCACTTTGCCTGAAGCCACCTCCAGGACCACCAAAAAAACACTGGAAGATGTGGTTTGGATCTATATTTCCTGTTAGAAAGAAAGAAAATCACTCTTACTAAACAGGTTATAAAAACTTCATTCTGATTACTCTGTTAAGTAAGAAACAAAACTCGGCCAACAAACAAGTTGCAAGAGTTATTACACTCTCTCAACTCGACAAATCTCAGCTAGATTATACCAGGAAGGTAAAATAAATGTATAAACATGCTAACAGTTTGAGCTGGCTGATAAAAATAACTATAAAATCTAACAACTTCTTTGCTCCTACTGACCTGTAAAATCTAACAGCTTTCTTTGCTCCTACTGACCTGTAAAATCTAACAGCTTCCTCTGCTCCTACTGACCTGTAAAATCTAACAGCTTCCTCTGCTCCTACTGACCTGTAAAATCTAACAGCTTCCTCTGCTCCTACTGACTTGTAAAATCTAACAGCTTCCTCTGCTCCTACTGACCTGTAAAATCTAACAGCTTCCTTTGCTCCTACTGATCTGTAAAATGTAACAGCTTCCTCTGCTCCTACTGACCTGTAAAATCTAACAGCTTCCTCTGCTCCTACTGACCTGTAAAATCTAACAGCTTCCTTTGCTTTTACGCTTCCCTTGTTTTTAATGTGATTAAGATTTTATTATTATTATTTTTCTAGTCTCTTTTTAATTATCTTGACATACTCCAAAAAATTATTCTGAACCTTATATTATTGTAAGATATAAGAATTTATAAAAACCTTAAGTTTCATCTATTATATGATCAATTTTCATAACATTTTCAGGGATGTAATCCATATCTCCAATTCTATCTGTCGTTTCATAAAAAAAATTAACAAAGCCTAGCAAACAACAAACATGAAGGACACGTGTTCTTGGGCCTAAATTCTAGAAGTGGAAGACATTCCAGTCTTGACAAAGTTCAGCTGGACTAACTATTCAACCTAAACATGTTTACTCAGGATATATTTTGTATTACATGTAAAACGTCTACATTTTTTACTATCTGTTCTACATACACATCTCCATGATGCATTTTATTAACTTGTTGCTATCCAAATTCTTAAACATTTTTATACAAAATGATTTCACACACTAGGTTAACTTTTAACATTGCTCACCAATGATATAATATTTCTACTACAGCATACAGAAGCTTACTGGTGGAAGTTCTAAGGTAAATACTCTATTAACACAAACTCGAAACTTGGCTCAAAAGTTTCCAGTTAACAAATCGTAGCTTGCTTATTTTATAAAGAGGTAGTCAAAGTGTTCACAATAAAAAGTATAAAATCATTATAAGAATAAATAAATATCTGAAAATGAGACTAAAATTTGCCCTTACCACCTCCAAAACCATCCATATCTTCCAAGTCTTGACCATTATCATATCGTTCACGTTTTTTAGAATCTGACAAAACACTGTAGGCTTCCCCAACCTCTTTAAATTTTTTCTCTTCTTCTTTCCTTTCCTGTTCTGATGCATTAGTGTGACGATCTATAACATTCATATAAACAATCTTGAAAGATTGTTTATGTTATCTCAAAAACAACTTAAAATTATATTTACTTGTCTTTACCATGATTGGTATAAATCATAACAATAAAATAATTTATCAAATATACAAGGGGTATATCATCAATACCAGATAGTTTTTTAAAAAGACAAAACTTTTTACACTAAATTATTTAACATCATAGAAAATCTAATAAACCAAATCTGTAAACAAGACCTAGTTTAAAATACAGATCAATCAATTAGGGTTGGCCTGTAAATTACCATCAATTTTGTAAAAGGAATATGCCCTAATCAAAGTTGGATAATTATTTAATAAATCCCATCTACGAACGTTTTATCAAGTTAAAAATAAAATTTCAATGATGAGAAATTTAATGATGGTTTTACTCTCTTAATACAAAGAATCTCCTTGATCCTAAGATCCTCTTCATTATCAGACACACGACACACTGAAATGTTCATCCAGTGCTCAGTCTTCACAATCACTGCCTAGATGTCTGTAAATACTTGATTTCTTGTTGACTGTAGATACTTTTTAATATGTTATTCCAAACAGCAAGCTGTAGAACCAATGTAATCTCAACCACAGCGAGAACAAACAACAATGAAATTTGACAATCATGTCCTTGAATGTAAAAAAACTTCTCTACTACTAGTGTAGATTTTAGGACCAGTTAAACAGATATCTGTGGATAATTTCTATTCTGGATCTTAGTTTGCAACTCGTAACCATCCTTAGACATGAGCACTAGACTAATAGCATCTCGGTACATCATAGCACAATGTAGGAAGGGTGATAACTTCCATCAAAACTGTTTTAATCACACTATTTGCACCAACATTATTGTTAAATAACTATCTCTCATCGATTGAAATTCTTCTTAAATGTGAGGTTTGTTTGGTTCTCTCAAGTAACAAAGGAATATGTCCAATTAAAGTTTTATTTGAATGAATAATTCATAAAAAAATTATTTTATCAAGTACAAAAATGTCCTAGTGTTGTTATTTTCATTGTTAACTTCTTAGAAAAACTAATTTATCAAGTAAGAAAGAGGCATGACTTAAAGTTTGGCTGTTTGATAGATAAATCAGTGTTAGTTAGTTGGTTAAAAAGAGAAAGGAGACAGAACAGGATTAATATTTGGAGAACAAGTCTACCAGAGAATCAAGATAAAAGACTCAAACCTAATTCAGTAAAAGAAAGATTTGTAACCACATGGTAATAAATTTTGGTTTTGATTGGTTACTATTAAGCATAAGGTTACACAATAAGTTATCCATGCTCTGTCCACTACAAATATGAAGACTCAGTTTTAAAGTTGTAAGCATGCACTGAGACAATAGGAGCAGGACAATAATTAAAGCTATCCAACAAAAAAAAAAAAAAGAAATATGATGAAAAGCAAATAGAAAAGTTGTTATTCTGTGAAAGCTTACTATGCTTTTGTTTTCTACTGCAAGTACCATCCCTCAAGAAGACTATCGGGACCACCTTGATCATACACTTACAAAGATATTTAGCATACCAACATAAAAGTTACCTAACAACTCTGCAATCATAATTTTGTACATTGAAAATTGATAAGTATACCTTTGAAGATATGACAGTCTCTATTCTATCAACAGTTCTGAATAAAGGATCTCAAGATCTAGTGTTTAATATACTCACCAAAGTATATTTGTCACAAACACAGAAAGAACCTGGACTCCAGGAAAAAAGGTCATAATACACTCAATAGAAAAAAAGAAAGAGATTTCTGAGTGAAGTTAAGGAATAAAACCAGCCTGATCAAATATATATCTATATATGAGTGATGAAAGATCATGATTGTGTCAAGTGACTCCACTACATAACTGCAACAGTTTGACTGGGGAAGTGGAAATATCATAACACAGCATTTAAGCAATAGAAAATTCTTGGGAACATGCACAAAATATTCGTAATGCACAGCACAGTTTTAAAGTTTGGTAGTGCACTTATACTATCATGTGCTATTGATTCTATTCCCCTGCATATGCATTAACACTTTAATTCTACATACATGAACACTACTATTTTCTCAACAAAATGTCACAATTTATAATTTTAACCCTTTACCTTGATAAAACTATTTTATTCAAGAGAGAAAACTTTCAGTATCACAAGTATCAGGTGATTTTAAATAACAACTCACCTGGATGATGTAACAAGGCTCGTTTGCGGTAAGCCTTTTTTATCTCTTCTTCAGAAGCAGTTTTATCAACTCCAAGTATCTTATAAAAATTTTTTCTTTTGCTCTTTTTCAGTTCCAGTTTTGCTTCTTCTAAAAACTGCTTGTGTGCTTCAACAGAAAGAAAACATTCCAATCATGTGTATGATAGTGGCAGTGACTGTTACTATAGAAACAGCATCTCAGACAATCACAATTAAACTTGCTTGTTGCTAAAAATGTACTGAATTACTTTTTCATTTCTTAAGAACAAAAAAACAGAATAGAATTTAGTCATGTAAAACACAAAATGAATACACAATGTGTGTATTATTACTGAATGCATCCTTGTATCTTAACTTTTATAAGAAACACGGCATTACTAATACACTAAATAACTTCCTTTATAATTGACTTATTCCTGTACTAATAACAGCTGCTTACTTCTTGTTGACTTATTCCTGTATCAATAACAGCTGCTTACCTCTTGTTGACTTATTCCTGTACCAATAACAGCTACTTACCTCTTGTTGACTTATTCCGTACCAATAACAGCTGCTTACCTCTTGTTGACTTATTCCTGTACGAATAACAGCTGCTTACCTCTTGTTGACTTATTCCTGTACGAATAACAGCTGCTTACTTTTACACTCACATATTCCTGTACCAATAACAGCTGCTTACCTCTTTTTGGTTCCTTCTTGTACACAGTTTCATAATCTCTAACACATTCTTCATACATTTCTAGGTCCATATAGCTAATAAATAAAACAAAACTTTATCTAAAACAACTTTAACATTCCTATTAAATAAGAAGTTTAAAAACTGTTAAAGAAAATAAGCACTTACTCTACCAATAATACTAACATTATGAACATTATGAATTGGAAGTAATGCATGTGTTCAGCTGAATGACTGAGAAACAATAGCTTTTATTACAAAGTCAGAAGGTTTTGATATTATAGTATCATTAGGCACTTATACAATTATCAGCTACTGAGCACTTCAAAAGAAAAAGTGTTCCTTATGTACAAAAACTGTATCCACCAGTTTCTTCCAATAGCATACTTTCATAGAATGATCCAACATCAAAACCAGCACATGTCCACAGGTTTCTTCCAATAGAATGATTCAACATCAAAACCAGCACATGTCCACAGGTTTGAATGTGAAGCATACCACAAAAAGACATTTACAGGTTTGTATTTTAATTTTTCACACTTTATTCCCAACTTGTTTTAAGAAAACCTGGTTCAAGTATTGTTTCATCATGCCTTCAAAATATCTAGCATATATGGCACACTATATAAAGAATTCTATGATATCAAAGAGTTTTTATGTAAGAATGAATTCCCTATTTTTCGTTGTTAATAGGATATTTCATAGTTATTTGAACAAATGAAGTATTAGTAAACTTGATATATTTGGGGTATCTAAGTATTGTGTAATTATCACTGTAAATATTTTTTACATTTTTAAAAACCAGTTAAAAGATATTACTAAAAAGGTGTATTCACAATTACAACGTGTGTTTAAACCTAATTGTCACCTCTGATCTTTCTTTAGATTTAAAGACCAAGTTCCTGCTTTACAATCATTATTTGTTGCTTATAAATTTAATTGTCTTTTGCCATCAGCAAGGCAACATCAGTTCTGTTAAAAGAAAATTCATAACATGAGTGAAAGAGTATGCTAACTTAATATCCCCTATTAAGTCTAGTATACTGGAACATGCCAAAAGAGAATGTGAAATCATTGTCCAATCTAATTTGTTTAAGATCTTAGCAAGGGCCAATGATGAACAAAGCCTTCATACAAAGGAGAGCTTGCTTATTCACAAGCTGATGCCTGACATCAATGTTACTAAGTTGCTTCAGCTTTTATAGATATGTTATCACTTGATCACTTTTGTTATCATTTCAGTATGGATGTAAAAACAATATAGACACAGGTCGACATCATTCATAAATGTATTGGTGTAATATTCACCATACAATGTGTTTTGTCATTAAAAAATGTATTCAATAATTTTGTAATGGGATCAAAACCCAATCATATCTTATATACTAAAGAATGTCAAAACATTATCCCCTGTACAATAAGAAAATATAATGAAATTACAATAATACTAAAAATATTTTAGGGAAATTAAAACTTTAAATGACCCAATACTATTTTAATAAGTAATATTCTATTTGTGGCAAAGCTAATAAGGCTATCTGCCACTGTCCCTAATTTTGAACGTCTGACCTGAGAGAAGGCAGTTACTCAGCAGCACCCTATCTCCCATGCTAATACAGTGAATGTCACTTTTACAATTTAGTTTAGTAACAAATGATAAAATGATGAAAGCATATTTGAGATAGCATGAATCTAATGTTTAAGTAAATATTTTAAGTATCCTGATATACATCGACAGGAAATTCAGAAACTTATCAAAATGTAATATATTATACTGCTGATATGAATCAAAACACAAAACCTGCTTATCAGCTGAAAATAAAAATTTATGTTTGTTTTTGACTAACTGATGTTTAACTGAACCTTATCAATACAATATATGTATATGCTACAGCTTTTTAATTCTGTATCTTTCTGGTAAAAACACACAAGAAATCTAGAATCAGAGAAGTTTGTTATCAACAAACTTAATTAGTCACAACTCTGATTTATCTAATATATGAAGCTAAGTTTATGTGTTTGTTTGCATCTTTCAGCTTTTAATATTTGACAAAAGATGGTCTTATGATACTTCTCAAGGTGACAGTTGCTGAGGGATAAAATGAGTACACTTCTGACAAAATTAAAGATTTTTTTTCTTTTCACTACCAACTAAACTGCCAGACCTTGGCCAAGATTTTGGTATTTCATATTTATTGCAGACATTAAAAAAGTTCAATATTTCAATAGATCTCTAGACTGTTAAGACACTAACCAGATGAAAGAATATGCATGCTTTATTTATATGATGATGTTTTTGTGGAAAGCTGAGTGCTTACATTTCACAAAATGCAAATCACTTTCTTAATACTAATCATATCAAATGCCCTTCAATATGAATCAAATTAAAGCCCATCAAAAACTCATAGTATTGCAAGCTATATTTTTAATACTGTAATTTATTTATTAGCTAGAGGGAGCTGCAGGTCAGAAATAATGATGTTAAAAAAGCCTATAGATTCTAAAGATATCAAGTGTTCTAGTACATTTGAAAGTAGATTATAAATCCAAGGTTCTGTGAAGCATCAAGAGTAAAGAAAGTTAACAGTCAAGGAGATAGAAAACTTATTTCAAGATAGGATGTTAAATCAGTCAGTGTTTTTGCAAAATATTTGTATCTGTGTTAGCTATTCAACTTGTTGAATTACCTTGTAGTTGTACAAGTAAGTTGATTTAACCTTATTCCTAGCTTTATTAGGTTTATTAGGTTTGAACATCATTTGTAACGTGGGCCTACAACAAGTTACAACAGTGTACAAGAGTTTAAGTTTGTAAAGACATCAAAGGAGGAAATAATCTAATTTGTTATAGTTTATATGGACTGGACTATGAACTAAATTCACTAGAAAATGTAAAAGGACCTGCCAATGAAAGAACAACGAACCAACAACAGAATCATAAAACACAACATTCTATACTGTTTATGATTGTTTCATACCGACTTCCAATGTTTAACTATTCTGAAAATTCAGCCCAAAATATCAAATTGTTCTACAGCTTCATTATGTTGCACAAGATGTAAACATAGATCACATGCAGACTAATTCTGTGAACTGTCAGGTTGTTGCATAAGACTATGGCATAAACAATATTAACAGCAATAATTGTAAGGAAATTAATAAAATGTTTGCATTGTGTTAAATATACAAACTAAGAATTTTTATTTCCTTGGTTATGGTCAGTATATAAGTTTGGAATGATACATATTGTTCTTCACACATACAATATTAATTACGAACTAAAAAATAAAAACACCAGTAATTTTAAGTTTTTTTTTAGCAAAGCAGTTATCAATTCCCTAGAAACTTCTACAAGCAAACTAAAAAATAATTTCTAGAAAAAATAAGTGGTATCATTCTCAGATATTTTCATGAATGTTTAAACATGTACTAGATCAGAAATGTATTAGAACTTACAACATTTTGGAATAAGGAATAATTACTTAAATTTCATTGTTTCCTTGATTTTCTTCAACTAAATAATATCTGGCATTTAATACAAACCAAGGAAAAATTATAATCTGTGGAATTTAACATGAACAAAGGAAATAATTCCTATTACTTATAACAAAACAAAAAGATGATCTCCAGTACTTAATCAGTGTTCAACTGTTCATGCTTTCTTTTAAAATAAGTTCCTGAAACGGATACCCCCCTCCTAAATATGTATGACCTGCACCCCCTACAAAAATGATAAAAGAAAAAGTAGATAAAACACCATGGGTTCTTGTTCTAGAAAACCACATAACAAAATGCATTTCAAATATGCCATTTGGTCTAACTTTCATTTACTTGACATTAGCCTACGTAACGTACCACATAAAACTACAAAGATACTCTTTATGGTGTTGTAATCATTCAAAGTTTGTCAACTAACACTTTTGAAAAAAACATCACTTACAGGCTTGTTAATCTTACATCTAGTTGCACAGACAAAATCTGAATCATAAAGTCTAATGGCACCATCTTTGTCACTATGATTTTGTTTTCATGTACATAAAGAAAAACACTTCATTTACTGAATAATGAATTTCAACTCTTTTTGGTGGAATTTTAGGTATGTTTATTTCATTAACAAAGTAAGATAAAACTAGTTAAAGAGCTCATACAAATTTTTATTAACAGATTTAAAAACCACAACCCATGTTAAAATGTTAAGTTGTACTAGCATTTATACACTTTTCAAATAATGGTAATTATAGTTACATTAAAGACTACGTTATCTAATGTCTTCAAGGAGGTGATGACTACAGTTACTATTAGGTGTTCTTTAAAAAAAACATAAAGTTACACACAAATATAAAACACACAAGAAGTGGAAAAAGTGACACTTCTTTAGATGCCATTAATTTAGAGTATAATACCTAACCACATGTCACAACCTTTGTTCTCACAAAGTAACTCACACACACACTCTTATAAACGAGATACATAGATATGCTGTTTTCATAAAAATCAAACTCTTAATTGTACTTGGAAGTTGTGGAGTTAATACTTAAGATAAAATGATCTGTTAAAAAAATCATCAGTTGAATTTTCTTTTAATTAAGCCACTTTATGTATTTCCATTACTTGTTATTGTCAAAAACCTAGATCTGTAAAAGAGATAGGTAGAAATCTTTCAGCCCCAGAAACTAACAATTTTCAGTCATGGAGAAATGTTATTGGAAATGATATAAACAAATTAACAAAGAAGCATATTTAATACAAACTAAATAAAAATTTTAATCCTTAATGTAGTAAATAATCCATGGAATTCAAAAACAAGGGCAATAGTTATTCCCTGGAAGTTGCAAAAATACAATAAGAGCAGTCAATTCCTGATATTTACAAAATAATAAAAGAGAGAACTCTTATTTTTACAACAATAGTCAGTGGTATTTAAAACAAAACATAAAAACCAGATGATCACTTGTATTTAAAACAAAATAAAAATAAGAAAACCAGATGATCAATGTTGTTTAAAACAAAACATGAATATCCAATCACTGGTATTTATAGCAAAACATCAAAACCAGATGATCAATGTTGTTTAAAACAAAACATGAATATCCAATCACTGGTA